TTTGGTTGAATTGCCTTGGTTGAAGAGGTCTAAAGCTCATGGCGTCCTTCAGGCTCTCAGGACAGATGAGTGGTGTGAGTCTTTGGCTCTGACAAGTGTGAATGAGGCTGTCATCACCATTGGACACATATGCTCGACATTGCTCAGGAGATTATTTTATGATGTACAGAGAAAAAAAGTCCAGAATCACATCATTTAATTGCTGGAGTTATTTAATTAGGCAGGTGATAGCAGGGTTAATGAATCGTTAACACCTCAAAAGAGCAATTAGCTCATTGTTTCCATAATTTTATGCAATGAAGCAGAAAGCTGGTTCTTAGGGTGGCTGTATTTTAACAGAATTTTGCAGAAGATAATTTCTGTTGTTTTGTTTTCAGACTAGGTCTGTAAATTCATGCTCGTTGTTGATACTCAGCATTAGTTTCGTTACCATGAGTATGCAGGTGTGTATAATTTTATGTATAGGATGATAATAGGGTAGAATGGTGCAGGTGGGCATTTCCACCTTCTTCCATGGCCTCTCTTTTCCTGGAATCCTTTTCAGAGCATCAGAGCTGTTTGTCCCTAGTCATGGTAGCATTCACTCATCCATTATTTATTTGGCTTCATGAAATAGTTATTGAATTCCTGTTAGGGGTCACTCATCGTTCAGGCACTGGAGGTACTGGGTTGAACATGACAACCAGGGTTCCTGCTCTCAGAGGCTTCCATTCTACAAAGGAAAATGGAAACACATAAACAAACAAGAAAGCAGAGGCAGGATGAAGTGCTCGCATGAAAGTAACTGCAGGTGTGTGACTGGGCAGGGAGGGCCTCTCAGAGGAGCTGACGCCGAAGTGACTTCTTAATGTAAGAGGGGCAAACCAAGCAAAGATCTGTGAGGATGCTCCAGGCTCAGGTCCTGTGTGGGAGTGGGCTGTTGTTTCAGGAACTGCAAGAACGCAAGCGTGGCCAGAGTGCAGGGAGGCCAGGAGGGGTGCAGCGACAGGGCAGAGAGGCAGGCAGTGCCAGCTTGCGTGGCCTGAGGGTCAGTGTGAGGGGTAGGTAGGATAAGGGCGAGCCTCACTGAGGGGCGTCCGACCGCCTTCTGATTTGTGTTTACAAAGGCTGCTTTGCTTGTCATGAGGGAAGGATTGTCTCGGGGCAGGGGAGAGATGGTGGAGGCGGCGAGGAGCCAAGAGTCTGCCGTGTGGCTTTGAAGTAGAGCTGACGGATGCACGGATGGCATAAAGGATGAGAAGACTCGAGAACGTCTCCCAGATTCTGTAGTTGAACAAATGGGGCCAGGGTGGCACCATTTTCTGAGGTGGGGAAGCCTGGGTTGATCCACTGGCTACGGATAAAATCAGCAATTCTATTTGAGCCGTAACAAGATAGAGGTGCCTGAACAGCCCCCTTCCTCCCTTCTGTGTCTCTCTCTGTGTTTCGGTGTGTTTGTGTGTGTGTGGGAATCTCATATTTATTGGATTGAATATTTATTACTGTGTTATAAGTATTGTGCCTTTTATAAAATGTTACCTCATTATTATTCTCATAAGAACTCTAACGCAGGATGATCCCCATTCTAAAAACTCATCAGCTGCTGCTCAGAGAAGTGCAGTTGCTTCTCCAGACCACATGGATAGTAAGATGTAATATCTTACTATCCTGTAAGATATTACTATCCTGTAAGATATTATCCTGTAATAATATCATGGATAGTAAGGGATTTGAATTCAGATTTGACCAGTTCCAAAGCCTGGGGTCTTCCCGTCCGCCAGGCGGCGTCTGAGATCCACTATGTTCTCACTGCCTCTCCGGCAGCTCCCTCTGGGGTCTTCCCGTCCGCTCTGGGTCTTCCCTGTCCGCCAGGCGTCTGAGATCCACTGTGTTCCTCACTGCCTCTCCGGCAGCCCTCCGGCCTCTGCCCGCCAGGCGGCGTCTGAGATCCACTGTGTTCTCACTGCCTCTCCGGCCGCTCTCTGTTCTGATGAAAGGCACCGTAGGATCCCAGGGAGGTGCCAGAGTGGCCTCTCTGCAGCAGCTGCGGCTGTCTTGGTTCCTCTCACCCTTCTCCCAAAGCCCCCACGAGACACACCTCCCTGGTCTCCTTCAGGGACAGAAGACCCAGAGTAACTTTTGTCCCTTCTCCTCTTTTAAAACAAAGTTCTCACTGTTAATGAGGTGTGCAGCTCATTCTCTCTCTCACTGTGCATCTGGGGTGCATGGCTTGGGTGCTGTTCTTGGCCAAGGCACTTTTATAGATGACATTTACTCAACTTGGGGTGATGTAGTCGAGCTCCCGTAATATTAATAGGTTAAGTGGTTTGTCTCATGGTCTTGTGCTTGAGTTGTGAAACCCAGCCGGGGTCTGGGCCTCAAGGAGACAGAGTAGCAGGGCCCCAGGAGGACCCTCCCTGCTGGGCCAGGCAGGAAGAGTTATTACCACTGTGTCTGACTCAGGGAGCAGAGCCCCCCAGTTGTCGGCCTGGCATTGGAGTGGGCAAGTGGGTAGGCAGCAGGCCGCCAGCAGAGGTGAGGGTCAAGAGCTGGGTCCCCAGGCAGAGATGGGAAGTGAGGGAGGGACACGTTTCTCCAACCTGAACTCCTCATCGGCAGGGGACTCAGATGCCGAGCTGCTGGAACCTCTTCTGTGCTAAGTTGGGTCTGGGTTGGGAAGGGAGAGGGGGCTGCGGCTTGGACAGGAGGGTGTGGATTAGCAGTGTTAGGTGTGGAAGGAGGCCCTGTTGACAGGTTCAGGCCACCCGGACTTCTGGGGGATGGGGTGCAGGTAGGGCCCGCACCATGGTGTCTGTGCTGGGAGTTTCCTGGGTGGGTGTGAAGTAGGTAGTAGGAAGGATGCTGAATGAATCCGGCTTAGTGCTGGGGGGATGATCGATTCTGATGTCAGCTTAGAGGTGGCTCCCCAGCGCTGGGCCTTGGAAGGGCAGTGAACATAGGCCCTGGAGGTGGAGAGGCTGTGGGGGCTGGAGCAGAGGCCCTCACTGTGCAGCAGAGGCTGCGGGAAGCACATGGACTGGCTGGGGGCCAGGGTGGCTGAAGGAGCATAACATGGAGGGTGTAGGGTGCAGAGAGTGACAAGGTTGCCCCGTGGATCGCGGAGGGAGACGAGCAGAGAGTGAGGAGACTGCGGATGGATCCCGGAGGGAGCCCGCCAGAGAGTGATGAGGCTGCCCGGTGGATCCCGGAGGGAGACGAGCAGCGAGTAATGAGGCGGCGGGTGGATCCCGGAGGGAGACAGCAGAGAGTGAGGAGGCGGCTGGTGGATTGCCATGAAAGTGAGGAAGCGGCTGGAAGTGGTCGGAGAAACGACAGAAAGTGGGGAGCTCACGGATGAATCCCGGAGAAACAAGCAGAAGAAGTGAGAAGCTCTGGATGGATCAGGAGAGAGACAGAAGTAGGAAAGCGGCTGGTGGATCCGGGAAAGCAGCAGTGAAGCTACGGATGGTGGAGAAAATGAGCAAAGAAAGTGGCGGCTGGTGGTCAGGAGAAGCAGGCCAGTATTAAAGGCTGCCGGGTGGTGCTGAAGAAGAGGCAGGCAGAGGTGAGGAGGCTGCCCGGTGGTGTGGGAGAAATAGGCAGAAGTGTGTTGGGCTGCCCAGGTGAGTGTTGGAGGAGGCAGAGCAGTGGTGAGCTGCCAGTGGTGTGGAGAGATAAACAGAGGTGATAGGCTGCCCCGTGGATCGCGGAGGAGACTACTCGGGAGGGAGACGAGCAGAGAGTGAGGAGACTGCGGATGGATCCCGGAGAGAGACGAGCAGAGAGTGAGGAGGCGGCTGGTGGATCCCGGAGGGAGACGAGCAGAGTGATGAGGCTGCCGGGTGGGTCGCGGAGGGAGACGAGCAGAGAGTGAGGCGACTGCCCGGTGGGTCGCGGAGGGAGACGAGCAGAGTGATGAGGCTGCCCCGTGGATCGCGGAGGGAGACTGCACCCAGCGGTGTTGTCACGAAGACGATGGTGTGCGTGGGAGGTGACAGAGGGGGACCCTGGCCAGGATCCCTTGCGTGGATGTTGCCATCGTCCAAGTGAGAGACGTCGGGGGTGGGGGTTGTGAGCCAGGCGGTGGGACTGCAGTGGAGGTGTGGGCAGAGGCAGACGGGGTCTCAATCCAGGGGAAACCAGGGGTGGGAGGTGTGAAGGGACCCCACGCTTCTTATCCTGGTGGGCTGGGGATGTAGAGACGGAACACGGACAGGGGAGCAGCTCTTCAGAGGAAGGCCAGGCCTGAGGTGCTGGGGTGTCCTCAGGTGAGCCTTAGCCTTGTGGGAGGGACCAGGACCCTGGCACTTGGCACGGGGTTGGGGGTTAACATCCCTTCCCAATCAGAGCTCCCCCCATTTGCTTTTCTGCACATTCTTAAACAGCAGGACTGTGAGGATGACTGGATTTGCTTATCTGGGACGGGTCTCAGTAGTTCTTTTCCCCCATTGCGTCTTATCCGTAGTGGACCTGAGACTGAAGCTGTCCCCAGGCCATAGTGGTTGGCCCGGCCTCTCAGGCTGCATTCACAGGAATCAGGAGAGAAGGCGGAGGGGCTCGCGCCTCCTGGCCAGGACATTCTGGTTGGAGTCTTGTAATGAAATCAGAAGCGACATGTCCATTCTTGGGGCCCCATAACCCGACCAGCAAAGCTCCTTGGCATAGTAGGCCATCGACGCATGCTTCTTGGGGACCATGGGGAGCCTCTCTCGCACGGATGCACGGCCTTTGGTGGCACCTTTGCCCGTCAGCCCGGCCCCCGCATCCTGCACTTCCCTCCATGTGCAGTGCAGAGCCGTCAGCCCCAGACCACCTCGCACTGCACTTGCTGGGATCTTCTCCTCCCCCAGCACCCGGTCTGCCTTTCTCTGCATGCCTCGTGGACCCGCCCCTGGGTGTTCTATTGACAAAGGGATTCCCCCCTTTTCTTATGTTTTGGGGCAATGCTGTGCACACTGTTGAATTTAACGAGTGTTGGCTAATTTGAACTGAATTCTCAGGCTTATTTTTTCCTTTTTCAGATCAAACCGGTGGTGCATTGTGATATAAATGTGCCTTCCAAGTGGCAAACGTATCATCGTATATGTCGACATATAAAGTGAGTACAATATTATGGGTGAAAAAAATCAAACTGTGCCATAGCTCCCTAAAAACAATACTTTCTATCCTGACAAGTGCCCCTTAGCCCTCTTTCTGTCTCCCCTCCCCTCCCTCTCCTGCCCTGGCTGGCTCTCACTCCCTGACAGGTGATTTCTTTTTCCTAGACCGCCTTCTCTCTGATTCAGCTGTTCATGTGCTACTTTTTCCTTCTCCTCTTGAGCCCTGATTTTGGAAAAGAGAATCCAATCACCATGCCCTTGTTTGTAGAACAGTTCGCCTGGGGATGCGAAGATAAGAGCATCATACACACAGCTCAGTTTTAGGCTCTGAAGTTTTGTTTTGATATTTTTTTAAATGTAGCAGTTGCAGCTGCGGCATGTTGAAGGGAAATTTAAAAACCGTTTCCCCCACCCCTTGACCTCTTGCTACCAAAAGGCCCTTGTGGGCTACAGCACATCCAAGTCAGGTGTTGCTACAGGAACGGAGTGCGTTAGGGCCTCACTGGCCGCTGCCCTGGGATGCTGCTGGCAGTGCCAGGCACCGAGGTGCTCAGTGGGAAGCATTGAGGATAGCTGTGATCACTCTGTGCACCCATCTGCATTATGTTTTGGGGGTTGGAAAAAGACAACACACTTGACTCAAACTAAACGTTGGTTTACATCCTGGCTTTTGGTCTTACCGGCTTGGGACCTGCACCTGCTGCTTCGCTCTGAGGTTGGGGCTGTCTCCCACTGTGGAAAACAGGGCTGAAAATATCTGTGCCGCACACTGTGGTGAGGGTTAGCTTCAGGAATGTTTGCAGCCAGCCCCACAGTGCTTGTCACAGCGTAGCAGGTCTCTGAATGGCAGCTCTTCCCCTTATCCTTTTATTGGGATGTTTTAGTATTTTAGTGATTAAAGGCCCTGGCATGAACATCTTTCCATTTTACCATGTTCTGGTCTAAATGGAAGGAATTTCAGCGAGTTTCCAGAGAATGCTGAGCTCTTCATGTGGGGGTGCCAGCCTTGTGTGAGCCAGAGTCACCTCTACCACCTCCCCTCTCAGTCCTGAGAGGCAAGGGCTTGGAGGCTTATAACACTGGAAACCCGCTGATTCACCCGACAGATCCCCAGGCTGGGAAGGAGGAAGATGAAGGAAGTGTGACCATGAATTCGCCAAACTTGGCCCCTTGCACTTTTCCTTAAAATCTCAACGACTGTTTCTTTAAAAGACCTTACTTTAAGCTTCCGCACGGGGGCCACCTAAATACACAGATCTTTCCACACCACTTTTCTTGTATCTAAGAGCTGTTCTGAAATAATAAGACACAGTATTTCTGAATTTTGTTAGTGATGTCTTTCCTGCAGAACGTACAGCAACCTCAGGGAACGTCGTTGGTTTGTGGGTCCTTCTTGACAAAAACACCATTCCTAAAGCCACATTTCATGTGTGTGACCCAGGCCATTAATGATCCTCACTCATTTGACAGACATGATTATTTTTTCAATGAGAAACCATGCACTCTGGCACATTTGCCCATCCTTTGTCTTGGTGTGTTGGAAGTTCCACTAGATGGACCCAAATATCCATCTGAGTGCAGAGTCCTTCCTACCACAAAAAAAAAACCTGATCGTGTACCTTGGAGTCCTTGTCACTATAAAAACACATAAACAATAGTTATGACGGCTTTCAGAGGCTTGGATGTTCAGGAGGGAAAGGCAGGGTGTGACCCTGGTCAAGAGGAGAGTTGGCGAGGGCGTGGCTTGTCGAGCTGTGCTCTGCAGCAGCTGGATGCTGGAGAGAGAACCCGGGGCTCCCCTGACGAGGTCACTGAGGAATTGAGCTGGTGGTGACTGCATGGGTTGGAAGTCACCGATTTGGAGGTTGAGGCTCAGATCGAAGCCCTGGTTCTGGCACTGACTCAGCCATGTGGCCTGAGTCACTTCTCTTGCCTGGTGTTCTCTCTGATGTCCCTTGTCAGGGAGGGATTCACTCACTCATTCCACTTACACTGGCGTGGAAAACGCCCTGAGTCGTGAATGAGCCTTGGGAGAAAAAGGGTATAAAAGATCTTTTGTCGTTTATTTGGAAGTGAGCTGGCAAAAGTTGTCTGGGCCCTGGAGTGGTTTTACATGGGGACTCCCTGCCCTTCACAGGGAGCCTGAGACCCGAGGGAGCAGGGGAAGAGAAGAGCTCACCCCAGGCCTCCTCTGTGGGGAGGAGGCACATTCGTGCTAGACAGAACTGAAAAAGGGGCCATTGGTCCTGGCCCTCATTGCGAGACTGATGTCAGAGATAGATACAGCTGGACGTTAGTGAAAGCAGTGAAAACAGATTTTATTTAGTAACTACTGATAGTTGGGGAAAGAGCTGAGTTCCACTCTGATCTGTGTGGAAGCGATTTGGGCATTTTAAAGGGGCAGTGAGAGATGGGAGCAAGTGGGGCCTCAGGAGAATCAGAGAAGTGGAAAAGTACAAAGAGTTGGTCAGTGAAGGTGGCCAGGCAGCTGGTCTGCAAGCTGGCAGTTCTGGAAGTTAGGATTCTGTCCTCCGCCAGAGACTGGGAGACAGGCCCTGCCCTGCCTGATGCTTGCAGTTCAAGGGAAGGATCTCAGGTGCGGGAAATGTGTCTGCATTGCCAGAGATGCAGATTCGTCAATGCTGTAAGAGGTCAGGGGCCTCTCTCAGGTGTTGGCTGGGATGAACAGTGAATGTTCCTGGCAGCCCTGGGTTTTCGCAGGTGGGTGTTTAGTGGTGGGGCTGGGGTCATCCTGTGGCCGTGGCTTGATGCTGCTGGGCATGTGCTAGAGTTCGGTTGTATCTCAGCACAGGAATTGGGACAGAGTTGTCATAGGCCAGAGTTCTGCGAAACTCAGTCCCTCTTCTTGTTCATGAGGAAGAGCGGATCCATTTCTTGTAGAACCACCACCACCTGTCATAAGGAGGACTTGAGAAGGGTCCAGCCGTTGCTTCCAGCTGCTATGTGTTCAGGGGGAGCTGAGAGACAGCCGAGGAGCACACCCCTCCCACAAGGGTGATGTGCATCAGGAGATGAAGGCATGACCATCGGGATGGATACAAAGAAGCCAGAGGCCAGGCACAGCGGCTCAAGCCTGTAATCCCGGCACTTTGGGAGACTGAGGCAGAGGGATCACTGGAGCCCAGGAGTTTGAGACAATCCTGGGCAACATAGTGAGACCCCATCTCTTGAAAAACAAAACAAAACAAAAAAAGAAAGAAACGGAGTCCCTTAAGGAGCTCCCTAAACCATCCAGTAAGTGGAGGAAATTATTTAAAGGGAGATCCAAGTCAGTCATTTTCTGGAGGGTGTAAGCTGTGTTAGCTATTGTGCCCGACTGCCACTGCTGCTACTTGAGACAGTCACTACAGCAGTTACTACTGTTACTGCCTGAGACCGTCATTATGACTGAACGAAGGGACAAACGTAGAAATAATAACAAAAAACAAAAGGAACTGTTTTAAGGAAAGGACCAGGGGAAGAGGAAGAGAGCTCCCTACTTCTAGTGAGCAAAGGCAGCCCCCTGACCTTCCACAGCCCTTCCTATTTATTGGGTAGAATGAGCAGGGAGAAGGCGATAACGATTGGTCAGCTGCTTAATTGATCACAGGTTTATATTATTACTAACAGGCTTCAATGATGCCTAATCATAAGAAACACTTGTGCCTGGGTCGTGACTGTCCTCAGCGGTCCTTCTGGGTGGCGCACAGTTTGTCAGTTTGCCAGCATTCTGCATTTATGAGAAACAGTTTGCTGCTTACTCACATAGTCTCCAGTGGTATTCTGAGTTGATCATGACCCTCTTTCAGCCTCCAGCAAGTTATGTCTTGGGTGTGAGTCTTTGCTGTGACTGTCTCTTGACAAATTTCCTCTCGAGTGTCGACTCCAAACAGGTGGCACTGAGGACAGACTCGTGCACGAACACCTCCCTGGCTTCCGGTCAGTAGTCTGAGGCGAGTCCGTTTTGTGGAGTCATTTTGCAAAGTTCTGACACTTCTGGGGTTAATGACACAGCCATTTGTCCTAAGTAGGAGACAGAATCTTCCAGTTCTGCGGGGGCTAGCTTTGCTGACCCCCTTTGTAACCTTATGGTGTATCCGTCACCACAGGCAAGGGTGCAGTGGGAGGAACAGACCACCCTACCAGGCTGGCTCCAGGCAGCAGGTCCTTCCAGAACCCACTTAAGGCGGCTTCCCGTCCACAAGTCTCAGGACCAGCAGCTGGGGCAGCACTCACATTTCTGAGTCTCCTTTGCGAAGTTTCTCACATTTCGCCATTTGAAGGTCGGCGTTGGCCACGTGACAGGAGCCATCCACTGGCTGGAAGCACTTTCTATGTCTTATGACCATACCCACAACAATAAACCTTATGAGCATAGTTGGGTTGGTCATTGCCTGCACTGGTTGTGACAGAGGCTTGAAGGGCTCACCGGGAGTAGATCCCAAAGGGAGAAATGTAACATTAACCATCATCTTCTCACTGATTGGGCATTTTAGTCCCTGTTTAACCAGCAATTCCCTTTGCCTGAGTTCTTTGCCAAATAATTTCCTGTGATGTTGACATCACGGGGTGTTGAAGGAAGATGATGTCTAAAGGGAGTTTGGCCCTTACACTGAGCTCCTGTTTCATGATAACAGAATGTGTCTTGCTACAGGGACATGGAGGATTCCCTGTGTCCCACAGACAGGCTATGTCTATTATACTGATTTCCCGTGAACTGTCGTGTTCTAGAGCTCACAAGGCCATGTCATAGTCCCAGTCTTGGGAGCCTTGAAGTTACAGTTTGGTGCCACTTCAGAAGGGGACTGCTCTGGTCATGTGTATGGGATGTTTCCTGTCAGGGCCATGTCTATGAGTATGATGAGGCCGTTATGAAGGAGGTCCCAGTTTCAGGACTGAGTAGGGTGGGGGCAGCGAGTGCAAACCCAGGAATTCACCCGTTAGTCTCATTGGCTGCTTGGTGATCCGAGAGTAGGAGGTAGTGATGACCGCACCAGGA